AAAAAAAAAAAAAAAAAAAAAAAAAAAAAAAAAGTTCTAAGGGTAAGTTTGGGAAACTTTGGATTATATAAAGATGAAGTAGATTTTTCTACTACAAGACCATTTAGAGGGTTTTAGATTTTAGATTTTGTTTTGTTGGGGGGTGGGTGTGGTCAGTGCTGTAACTCAAGTTAGGACATACCAAACTGGAAACCGGTAGAATGATGAATGTGTCAAATATATGGCTGAGGTATTTAGGAGTTTTTCAGTTTAGAAGAGATGGGGTAGGCTTAAAGAGCAAAGTTAGTGAAATTTACCATAAAGTGAGAATAAAAACTTAGAAATTTTGTAAGATGCTTCATCCATCTCATTTGAGTAGGATCTAAATATGATTAGCTTTTGAAGCTGTGATAGCGGAGGGCTAAAGGAAGTGCTCAGTGGTGAGTGCTGGGATTTGTATAGTGTTAGCTTAATTCACAGAGGTAGACTGGAGGTGTGTGCTTTGATGTTTAGGTGTTACTCTTTTAAAGCAGCTCAGTGTTAAGCAGTGTTGGCAGCAGAATCACCCCTTATCCTTGCACTTTTCACAGGAAAGTGAGCCTCTTGAGCCCTCATACATAGTGGGGCAGGTGGCCTCAGCATCCAAAGAACAAAACCTGAGTACTTTGTTCAATGACGGGGAGAACAGTCAGGTATGCTTCCCATACGGTTGAGTTGAGATACCTAGTCCCCAGTCATCACTTAAAACTAGTCTCAATTGGAGTTAATAGGGAAAAAAATCCACTTGATCCAGCAAATTGCTTTGTAAACAACATCTCTCTTACCTCATTGCTCTGTGACTTTATTCTTTCTCTTTTCCATTTTCTGGTCTTTCTGAGGATCATAGAGGGAAATTGTAGTTCTGTTGCTTATTATAATCTTTCCTATTTTAAATTAAAGGGTCTTAAAAATGATTTTGTTCGGAACATTCTGTGGACATTTGAAGATATCCATATGTTGGTTGGATCTAACATGCCTATATTTGGCGGAGGCAGATACCCAGCCGTCAGTTTACGTCTCAGGTAAGCCAACATTGTGCCCTGCAGTCCCCACAGTGCTAGTGTTTAAATACTTGGCACTTCAAAATGCTTTAGTGTTTTGTCTGTTCCTCATTTGTTTGGACTTCTTCTTTTTCTGGGTCGTTTCACCCCCCTCTTTCCCCTGCCAATTGAAATGGCCACAATAAGGAAGGAGCTACATGCTGTCAGCACATGCCGAAAGCCTCATAGGTAATTGTTAATTCTAGACCCAATTGAATGGAGCTCAGAGGTCTTTTGGGCGGACCTACTTTTGGGTTTAAATCTACAGCTTGTGAGAATAGTAGAGAACATTTTTTATTAGGTTAGGAGGTGGTTTGGTAGCTTCCTGTTAACTGATTGTGAGTATTTTCTTAGTATGTGTGTATTTGTTCACCTAAGCCAGTGTGAATTCCAGCATGGACATTATTGGTGGTGGTGGTCTTTCCTCAGGTTGTGTGAGGGGCATGCAGTAGGCTCACAGTCATCTACTGTATTTCCTTCTCTTGCTGAAAACTTCACAGTACCAGTTAGAAATGCCAGGCTTTTGGGAATGTGTTAGATACAACAAAAATGTTGAGCTACATGTGTGTGTTCTCAGTCAAAGTCTGTGTGGCATTTCCATCTAGGGAGAATTAAATGGGTAAATAAGTCTCAGATGATTCAATTCAGACTGTCTTAATTTAACCAAATAACACTAGTAATGTATATATTTTTAGGGATAACAACAAACCAATTAATGTGCTAACTGGAATTGACTATTGGTTGGACAACTTGATATGCAATGTACCAGAGCTTGTGATGTGTTTTCATGTAAATGGAATCGTACAGGTAAGACACAATGTGACTTTTCTAATAATTTCTCAAAAGCAGATCAGTGCAGAGTATGTCATGAAGCTTTTTAAAGCCCATAAATACTAAAATTATTTTTGGTAGGAAAGATAGGTGTGAAAAAACTGTAATTTTAGTGTTTTCAAATTTAAGTTGGTTATAGACATTATATAGGAATATAATTTTACAGATAAAAGATGGCCCCGTGTATTGTGTGGGAAAGAGGGCCATAGTCATGTTTGTCACCTGATGCAGAGTTTGCAAATGAAAACAAAATTATGCCAAACGCTTCTGTTTGTGAACCAAATTGTTTGTAATCAAAAGTATTCATGAATCAAGGTACCACAACTCTTTTTCGTGACAGATATTGGAGGGAAACAGTATGTTTGGTTACCACTCCAATATAATCAAATAGGAGGTAATAATGTGCAGAGAGAACTTTAGGAGCTAGGAAGTAGGTGTAAGTGTAGTAGTACTCACATGGGTCTGGATAATCAGAAGGTGAGAAGTCGGTTTTGGTCTGGAAGAAAGACTTCACAGAAGTGGCTTACTGACTGTACCTGAATGATAGCTAGTGTCTCAAAAACTGAGAGCTTCCTTTTAAAAGACTCCCTTCCATTAATGAAGGCATTGATAGTAAATCCTGTTAGGGAATACGGGGTTAAGTAACAGAATTCAGATAATACTTAGAAAAAGTCATGGCCGGATAATGGAGAATCTTGAATGCTGAGCTAAAGAGTTTGTATTTGATTTAGTTGGAATCTATGAGGACTTTGCCTTTGGAAGGAAATTCGTTGCATTGGAACATTCACTTGGGGGTAGCTTATAGAATAGGCAGGGAGTCCTTGGAGACCAGAAGGCTGGTCACAGATTACAGTGCTTTTGTAAATAGTGTAAGGCACCTGTACTACAAGGGAAATATTAAGACTCAACAGTGGTAATAATAGCTGGCATTTGTTTTGTACTTATTTGGCTCCATCCACTTTACCAGTGCTTAACATGGATTGCCTTATTCATCTATTTACCACATGTGCTGTTACTCCTGTTAGGGAAAGTGAGGGTTAGGAGATCCAATGAGTTGCCCAGAGTCATATGGCTAGTAGGTGCTAATGCCAGTATTTAGGTCTGCATTTGCTGGAAGCCATGTTTTCAGCCATATACTCTAACCCAGTGATTCTTAAAGTGGGCTGTTTTTAAAATCACTTGAAGCCTCTTAAAAAATATACTTCTTAGGCCCACAGTGTGCCAGGATCAGTGGGACCATTCTTTTCAGGAAGCTCTGTACATGTACTGTCAAATCACGGTTGATGGCACCATTTAGGGAGAGGATTGTGAGGGATCCAAGAGAGCGGGGAGAGGCAAATTCAGTGCTTGTGAGGTGCAAGGCAGATGTCAGAATCCCAGGATTCTGGGACCAGACTAATGGCAGTATAATTTGCTGAGATAGGGGCACTGAATTGATTTAGGCAGAAAAGGTAATATGTTTTCATCATATGTTCTGATTGAGGACGTCATATAAATGTCCAGTGAGCATTTTGATGGTGTAGTAATTAGAGAAGATGGGGCTAGAGCAAAAGTTAAAGCACCATCTACCTAGGGACTAATAGATTTCACACATCAGAGTCTTTCCCCATAAGGGTGGAAAGGGTGAGGTATTGAGAAGAGAACCAGAGCAATGCAGTGTAAAATGTGGGAAAGGAGTGTTTAAGGGAGGAAATAACAAAATTGGAAACATCTCTACAAAGAAATAGAGTCCATCACTTGAGGGAAGAAAAGTGTCTCCTGGGAAAACAGTCCAAGTGATGATCTTCTCTTGCCACTGACTCTATCTGGGGAAAGAAAGGGCGAGAAGAACATGGTTTTTAGAAGCTTGAAGGGAAAATTCTACTTTCATGTACCATCTTCCCAGTTGAAAGCCATTCACTTGGGGGTAAAGGAAAGTGTTTAGTATGATCTGCTGTGGTACAGCATAGATACGATCTGCCTTAGCCTGAGGCTGTGTGTCTAGTAGTGACTCTCAGGGGTGACTGCGGTAAGGAGCCACCTTTACCAGTGGGGCTGGATCAGCTCCATCGGAGACTGGGAACAGGAAAAGATTCAACAGTGCACTTGTAAACTCTTCCACCTGCCTGTTTCTATTTTCAGGATTTATGTACTGTATTTGGTGGCTTTTTAGTAAGAAAGATATTGCTACATCAGGTTTCCCCTTTAAACTGACTTCTGTGTTTTACAGAAATATGAAATGATAAAGACAGAAGAGATTCCCAATTTGGAAAACTCTAACTTTTCAACTAAAGTCATAAAAGACATCGCACAGAATATTTTGTCATTTCTAAAATCTAACTGTACCAAAGAAGGACATACATATTGGCTCTTTAAAGGTAAGTTAATTCTTGAATGGACAACAATTTATTTGGGTGACTACTATAAAATAAGATTTATTGTTCTTTAACAGCAAGCGGCAGTGATATAGTGAAGCTCTATGATCTCACTACACTTTGTGAAGAAACTGAAGACAAATACCAGAATCCATTCACAATGCCAGTGGCCATTCTTTTATATAAGTAAGTACTTTAAAAACTTAAGATGATGGGGCTGGGGATTTAGCTCAGTAGTGCAGCCACCTGCCTCGCAAGTACAAGGTCCTGAGTTCAATCCCTGGAACCAAAAAAAGGAATTTAGGATGAAATACCTTTATGTAAAATTTGAAGTGTACAGCCACACTATCCATGTACCTTTTAAGGTTTTCATAGTGAGAAAAATACTTAGAGATGAACCATACAAGACATCAATGCATTATACCAAATATTCAACTTCCTTGTGGAAGTAGTGTAAACTTTTTGGAGTGGGTTGGTAGAATACAATGCTTGATTGCTTCTTATAGCTCCTTTTCTGTTGGACAAATATGAGTGTCCCTAGACCGGAGTCTTACCGAGAGTGATGAGTGAGGGTTAAAGCCCATATAAACATTTCTTTCAGGGTTGCTTGTAACATGATGATGAAGAAGAATCAAAATAAGAAACACTATGGGACTATTAGAACATTACTCCTTAATTGTGTTAAGTTGCTGGACAAAAGCAGACATCCCCAAGTAAGATTAACTTCTGTATGCTGTCTAACAAAATTCTAGCATTCTGATAGAGAATTGTTGTCTAAATATAAAGCTTCCTAATTCATATTCCATCATCACCCTGTCCAGTGTGACAGCCACTAAACCATATGTGGCCACTTGAACACTTAATATGTGCTTAATATGAATCGAGATGTGCTGTCAGTGTAATAACACACTGAATTTTGCAGAGTGTATGTGTACATATATGTTGAATATTTTGTAGATTCCAAATGAAATATAAATATTAATTTTATTAGATTTCACTTTTTTAGTGCCACTACTAAAAAGTTTAAAATTTCATGTGTGGCTTATATTATAGTTCTTTTGGATAGCACTGTTATGTACATTTAAAAACTCATAATTCTAGTCGTACTACTGTTTGCTTTTTTGCCACTATTAGGTCAAAAGATACATTTGTATAAATGGATTATATTTTCATATGTTAGTGTAAATAAGGTTCATATTGCATGATCAGCTGAGATAATAAAATATTCTCTCAAACATGCATCCCACAATTATACACAAATTCTCTCTGAATTTGAAAACTGTATATTTTGGTATAAGCTTAATTGTGTCTTGCTTAAATCAAAAAAGTATATGTAGAATAGGTTCTTTTTTTAAAATTTTCTTCTAATTTTAATCATAGCCACATCTGGTTTGGAGGTAGATTGTCCTAGAGCCCAAACTTGGATACATTTATTTTGAAGAAAAAAGTGGCAAAAGTTTCTGGCTTTAGTTGCTGATTTGAGGTGGTAGCCTTCAGTGGCAATTGAATAGTTTATGTGTAAGTTAGAAAATTATGTTAAGACTATTGAATGTCTATTAAGAATAAATGATAGTGGTTTAAATGATATATATAAATATTAATTTTAAGAGCTATCTGGCTGGGCATGGAGGCATACACCTATAATTCCAGTACTCTGAAAGGCTGAGGCAGCCCAGCCTGAGCAACTTGGGGACTTAGCGAGACATTGTCTCAAAATAAAAAGAGCAAAAGAGCTCAATACTAAGGCCCTGGGTTTAGTCTTTTAATACTAAAGGAAAGAGAAGTATCAGATGACTTCTCCTTTAATGAGGTTTTAGTCCCCTAGAATATATAGGTCATCTAGTAACTGTTAGTTTCCTATTGAAGATAAACTTTTATTAACTCACAGTTTATTAAGAGAAATTCTGACTTCTCATTTGGGCAGGGGGTAGAATTTGCTAATGTTTTAGTTACAGCGGTCTATATAAAGTTTTTCCTTATCTTCAGACAATACAGTGGCCACGTCTTTTCAGAAGGAAGCCTCAAGTTAGAATAATTTCTTGAAATAAGACTCTTTACCTGTGAGGCTTTCATAGAACACACTCAGTATTTTAACTTTGAATCGGAAAGTTTTGTGTGTATTACAGTCTAGTGAAAACAGCCTATGTGCAGAGCCCTTCTGAAAACTTGTTAGTGTGGTGGTAAAATTGATTCTTTTTTAGATGAGACAATTATGATAGCAGTCATTTATGCATATTTCTCTTATTTTTCTTTTAATAAGATTATTGCTTCAGCCAATTACATGCTTTCAGAGCTTTTTCAATTGGATGAACCTAAAAAAGAAGAAAGTTCAGAATCTCCTTTAAATGAGAATTCTGATGAAAGTTACAGTGAAGAGGAAGAGGAGATGCCAGACAGCGATGAAAACGGATCCTACAGTACCAGCTCTGATCCATCAGATGATAATAAAGCAGTAGCTATAATTAAGTCTGTTGGAGAATTGTCAGTACCAGAAAAATACAAATCCATTCATCAGATCAGAGTAAGCATGTTAGAATTTGTATTAAGGTTTTCTTGGTGGAAGTAGGAATGCAGCTAGTCTCACAAAACATGGATACTTCAGTAAATTTTTTGTGGTCCAGGATCTATAATTATTAGATTTATGAATTCTAACACTCTCTTTTAGAACTCCTAAGTGCAGTAGAATTGTCCTGGGGTAATGGACCCATGTTATGCCAGGGTATGGTAGACAACTGTGTAAATCAAACATCCACACATTCATTTTTATTGGAGCAATTTTCTTTTTTGGTAACCATTGCCATAGCCACATCCTCAGCAGGACACCTATGTCCAGTTTTTGAGCTGCTGGGCAATTGTACATAGGTTGTTTGGTAAACAAATAGTAGAACAGGGATAGCACTTTGTTCCTTAGGTGGAGAGATCTGGTACATTGTCATTGTATTGTGTGTAAGACTGTACTTTTTCTGTGACCTTGCACATGGCTGTGCCCTAGTCAGAGCCAGGTGGATCCTAGCCACCGCACACCCCTTAGGTTTTTCATGGCACAGTTGTTTTGACTGTGCTTCTACCAGCAGTCACGCCCCAGGTACTTCTGCTTACACTGCCTTCCTATAATTAGGTCCAAGTTAACCTTAAAAGAGTTCTGGCTGTTCCCTGAACTGAAATATTGTCATTTTTACAGACAAGCTCTTAACTTGAGCTCCGAGTTTAACTTTCAGATGGAAACTTTATGTTCACCTAAAGGATAAAGAGGTGTAGACACTTGGGTTACCCTGAAACATTGCTTATCTTTCTGACGCCCTCTTCTTTTACTTTTCCCTTCCTTTACCACAGTCTATATATATATATAGCCACACTGACTTTTTGTCTGTCAAAGCATCGGGATCACCTGAGACCCTTTGCATTTGCTACTGTTGTTTCTGTTTGGAGCATACCTTTCCCTACATTTTTTCTTAGCTGCATTTTTGCAGCCCTTACATCTTTACTGAAATGTCAACTTGCTAAGGAGACCTTCCCTGACCACTCCAGCCAGAGCATGCTGTTTTTGTTTTCTTCGTAGAACCTGTCTATACCTAAAGTTCTTATTTTTGTATATGTTTGTCTCTCATCACTAGAATGTTAAACTTCCTGTGGGTAATTCTTTACCTCTCATGTCTAGGACACATACAGATGCACAGGAAATATTTGACTAAATGACTACAAGATGAAGTCACTAACTATCCTTCTAAATTTTAGTTCACTTTTAGCTTGAGTCCCACAGTGGAGGAAAAACAAAATGTTTTGCTGATTAAATCATTGAATGTATTTGTACGTGTTACATGTATTTGTATTTTTATATGAGCCCTGGACTTTAACAGGTCATTTAGATGATAACTGAAGATGTGGTATATTAGTGTCACTTTTTTTTTTGATAGCACTTTTTACCATTATCTGGAGGCACTCAAAAAATGCAGTTGTAGTATTCATGAGAACATGTCTTAGTTAGCTTTGCATCATCTGTATGTGATGATTTGAAGAATGGGCACTCGGTGTGGGCTCCCCAGTCCTCGCTTCTGTACTTACTGTGTTCTTGGATGAACTTTTCTGCCTTCTATGTGAGCTTCTCTGTGAGGAGACCAGTAATTCCAGCCTCCCAGGATTCTGCAAAATGAAATGTTTCACAGAGGCCCTTACACATTATTACTTAGGAAATGGTTGTTAACTTTTTGTCCTTAATTAAGCAGATAAACTATAAAGTGAGACTTTGGGTGATGGTAATACTTGTTAACGTTTGCTAAATTGATGATATTGTTAACTTGTGATGCCAAGTTATCAATGATAATTAGTAATTGAGCATATCTGTTAGACTCGGTATGCATTTATCTAAAACATTACCATCTTGCTTTTTTATCATAATAGAATTACTTCTAGGATTTTAAATACTTAAAAGCAGCACATATGCTGGAAGGTCTTTTTTTTTTTTTTGGTTTTTTAGTTTTTTGGGGGTACCGGGGGTCGAACTTGGGTCCTTGATCTTGTGAGGCAAGCGGCAGAACCACTGAGCTAAATCCCTAGCCCCTGGAAGGTCTTTTTTATTAAAATTTTTGTTGGTAATGCTTGCTATTTAATCTGCAAACCAAAACAATCCATTAATCTTCATATCAGATACCTCAGCAAGCTCAGTACCAAAGCACATTTCTAAATTGGTTTTTAGAGTATCAGGAGTTGCCAAAAGATGAGAGACACGGACTTTGTTGTATCAATAGTATGTTAATTTTCACTGTTTGTTTCTGAAGCCCAGTTGTGCATTTCCAGTTTGCCATGACACAGAAGAACGCTGTAGACTTGTGCTTAGCTATGTTCTAGAGGTAAGTCTAAGTGTCCTTTTCACTTTTTCAGTAAACTTTGCACTTTGATTTGCAAATAGCATTTGCTCTTTGGCTTCTAAATATTATTTTGAATAATGTTCAGCTGTGATTTTTTTTTTCTTAAGCTTAAAATGTAAACCAAATCAGTTTTTCTTCAGTTTGTTTGTGAGGTAGAAATTGTGCCTTTAGTTTTCATTTGACTGTTAGTAATGTGTATAGTAAATATTTTTTCTTTTTTTAAGGGTTTAAAATCTGTAGATAGCAGCATCAAAAAGGAAAGTGACCTTCCGGCAGCTGATCCCAACACCCCGATCCCCTTAAAATATGAAGACGAAGACGAATCTACAAGGGGGGGTCCCGAGGGGCTAGAGAAGCAGATGGCCTTGTTTTTGGACAAAAGTAAGTTGAATTGATGTGCAAATAAGGCCTTTAATAGAATAATATACTGGTCCTTTACCAACAGCAGACATGTCAATTAAGCCATTCATTGAAAGGAATGAAAAGAAAGATGTCCTGTGAACGAGAGTAGGGGGCCATACTTAGAAATAGAGATTTGATTAGAAGTGTGAAGCAAAGCAGCATGATTTTGGTCTTCCATAGGCATTTCTTGTGAGACATCTTTCCACTGCCCACCGTAAGGAACTAGTGCCTGCATCCTGGCAGAGATCTCCTAAGGAATTGCTGTTTGTAGAAACATGGAGAGTTGAAGAGCACAGGCTTGGGAACCAGAGTGCCTAGCTTCGAGCCATGGCTGATGTAGGGCAAGTTTTCCCACTTTTTTTGATCAGTGCTTTTTTTACACTGGAGACAGTAAAAGTGCTTAATTGAAGAGGTTGTTATGGGCTAAATGGTTAATGTAGATAAAGTGCTTAGAACTGTGTACATAATAAGCATCATAAAGGTGTTGGCTGGTTTCTTATTGTTGAATAAGCTAGAAATGTCACTTTTTAATTACCTAGTCTGCTCCTTAGTAACATGTATCACTTCATGCAGAACGTACAGACTTTGAAGTAAAATTCTTGAGTTTCTGATTTATTTTTAATCTGTCATTTTTTTCCCCTCAACTTTTATCTCTTGGCCCTATTTAATCAGTTTCAGTTGTTTTCATAACATTTTGAAAGCCTGTGTATTTGAAGTAGCTCACGCCACATGCTTCCTGGACCTTTCTTCCTTCCATGAACAGAGAGGTGGCAGGCATGGAGGTAGGGGATGATTTCCTTGGCCCGCATGTTTGTAGTATTTCTTGTGTGCCGGGTTAGCCTGCATACAGTGAGGCCCACTCTGTGACTTTTGCTATTCATTTTTCTAAAATGTTTTCTCTTTGTTCCTTCCTCTGCATCTCCCCTCTTAAAAATCCCACTTCAAGTCCAGAATATCCACACTCACCCATCCACTGTCAGAATTACTTGATTCCATTACTCTGTGTTCTGTGAGTACACTGATGTCTGCTGTGTATGTTGGACATCTATGTTAAATGGCTCTAAGCACAGACATGCACACACAGACAATTATAAGACCTTCATCTTACTCATCTTCAGTTTTCTCACAATGCTTCATACACAGTGCTCCTAACAGTGGAGAAAAAGGAAATAGATGTACATTTAAACTATCATAGAGACCAAGTACTTTTCATTACCTTGAAAGACTTACATCTGCATCCAAAAAATGAGAAACCTTAAGGCTGCTGCAGTGGAGCACATTTTTGTTCTTTGTTCTGTGGCATTTTCCTCTTATCTTTGTAGTTACACTTGGTACAGCTTGGTATGGTTTATCAGGTTAATGGCCTCATGACTTCAGGTCACTATTTCTGTGCCTGTTGCCATGTGAAACAGTAACCTTCAGTGGGAGATGAGGAAAAACAAGCATTTGTGTAGGCTACAAGGAGTAACCTCCCTATGGCTGATGAGAGGTAGAATAGTAGGAAGACTGAAGATACATTGATTGCTTAGGAAGTGGGCCAAGGTGCTGAGTTTTAGTGAGTGGTGAGAAGCTGTGTTCAAGGTTTGGGGACTGGCTTTGACTGGAGTGAAGGCTGTGCTTTAGGAAAGTATACCTTTTGGCAGGTTGACTCAGTGGAGAAAAGAGGCAGGCGTTATGGTCATGAGTTGAGCTGTGACCCTGTAAGAGTGATAGTGTTGCCCCTGGGAGAAGGCAGAGGACCTTGGATCTCTGTAGCAAGGGTCTTATTTGGACACTGGCATTTTACTTCATTGCGTTTAGGAGGAAAGCATAGCATATAGCTGTCTCATCACGGCAGTAGTACCTGAGTCTGGAGTGTTCCTATCAAGAAATAGGCAATATTTTTTTAAATAAAATACTTGTCTTTCTCTCCTCCCCATGTCATAGTGGGCTCTCTTCAGAAGCGCAACTACTCCAGTCAATCTGGAATGATCCCTGGTTCTTGGCAACATAAAATGAAACTTCAGCTGATTCTCAAGTCAGCAAAGGCCTATTACGTTTTGTCTGATGCTGCCATGAGTCTTCAGAAGTATGGGAGAGCACTGCGGTACATTAAGCTAGCTTTGCAGAGCCACGGTGAGCCATTTTAAATGACTATATCCAGTAGGCCCTGGGGGCGGTACTGGAGGCATCTGACTCACAGTCATAAAATTTGAGTCTTACTGTTTTTGGCTTTTTTTTGGGGGGGGGCCGTTGAGACAGGTTCTCACCATGTAGTTGAGACTAACCTGGAACTCACTATGTAGCTCAGACTGGTCTCGAACTCACAGCAATCCTCCTGCCTCAGGCTCCTGAGTGCTGGGATTGCAGGCATGCGGATTACAGGCATGCGCCACCATGCCCAGCTAATTTGAGTTTTTAAAACAACTTACAATCCTGTTACTTAGTATTTTATTTTCTGCTCATATTGGTTGAACATCTCTTCATTTTGAAATGCATGAAGCCATTTGTGTTACTGACATAAAATAGAGTCATGCAGTGGCACAAAGCTTTTAGCCAGTAACAGATTCTCTTCTTATTAATCGTGTTCACTAATTTACAATGCATTTGTGTTTTCTCTCCTTCCCCTTATTTTCCAAATAGATACTTATTGCTGTCTCTGCACCAATATGCTTTCTGAAGTGCTACTGTTTCTTTCTCAGTATTTGACACTTTGTGGTGATATCCAACTCATGCTGGCCCAGAATGCAAATAACAGAGCAGCACACCTTGAAGAGTTTAATTACCAAACAAAAGAAGATCAGGAGATACTGCACAGTCTTCACAGAGAGTCCAGTTGTCAGGGTATGCCAGCTCGTGCTTACTGAAGATGCCCAGAAAAGTGGTGGAAATAGGTCGTTCAGTATCTGCTCTATTTGGGTTTTTTCTTGACACTGTCTGTTGCTATGTTATTATTCAAGCTAGCCTTGAAGTCTTGGCAGTCCTCCTGCCTCAGCCTCCCAAGCTCTGGCACTATAAGCCTCTGCCACACCACCTGCCTTAGCTGCTCTGTTTTGTTTTATTTCTTCATTTTAAAATCAAGCATGGGCTGGGTGTGTAGCACAGTGGCAGAGAACTTTTCTGGTCTGCATGAAGTCCAGGTGCAAATCCAGCACTACAAAAAAAAATTTTTTTTTTTAATTTACACTTACTAATTATAGCTTGCTGAGGATAAAAGATCTGAAGACAGTTGTTTTGCCTTTGTACACTGTTCATGAAGTGTTTTAAGATAGTGCTTCTAGTTAGCTTACCAAGCCATTTATTTTCTTAAAAAAGAATAGCAGTGGTAACAGTGGATTAATTCCAGTGGAATGAGTCCACGGTGCTAAGATAAGAATTCATCATTTTTTAAAAAGCCTATAGCCAACTGTCATATCACTTTGTTCAAAATCTTCAGAATCCACAGCAGCAGTACTGTCAGCTCAGTTCAGTTGAGTAACCTGCGCTTAATGGTAGTAAGTGAGGTCTAAATCGGTCTTCTTGAGACCCTTTGAAATTTACCATGGACTTGTTTTATTGTGCTCTTATGACACTTGGTATCCACCTTCCAAAAAGTTCTGGACAATTAACAGCCAGGTGAATATGCTGGAGGAGGGGAGTGCAAATGTATTATTGCCTAATATTTTTGCCCTGTTTCTTTCCTTCTGCCTCTGTCTCTCCAGTAATCATTTCACTTTAATAGACACATCGGAAAGTCTTTATCACTTCTATCATAGTGATTTCATTTAAAATACTTCTAAGATTGATATTTTCCCATATATTTGAGTGTTAGCAATAAGGAGTGCTCCCTTTTTTCCCTTGGATATTGAGTCCTCTGCCTGAGTTTACTCCATCTCCACTAGATGGCATTGGCAAGTTTTTAAGGACTCATCTAATGGCTTCTTTCTTCAGTGACTTGGGCTCGAAATTGACACTTGATCTCTATTTCCATAATTTAAAAAAATGAAAGCTACTTACCATGTGTTAGCAGATTTTAGAATACAAGCAGACCTGGGAAAATTTGAGTAATGGGAAGTGCTTGGTATTTGTAGGCAGGAAAAAATTTATTGTAGTCAAACATTAATATTCCAAGAAAATACAGTTTTACTAATAAAGCCATCTTAGCCAGGTACAGTGATGCACACCTGTAATTCCAGCTGTGAGGGAGGCTGAGGCAGGAGGATTGCATTTGAGGGCAGCCTGGGCTACATAGTGAGTTCAGGGTCAGCTTGGACTACATAGAAAGACCCTGTCTCAAAATAAAAAATAAGAAAATGAGCTAGGGATATAGCTCAGTTATAGGGTGGCCCTGGGTGAAGCACCAGTACTGTAGAGAGGCAGAGGCAGTGACATTTTTCCTGTGAAAACGTAAAGTATACTATATTGCTTGATTCTTAGTATATTTATGCCATGTAAATTTTGTTAACATTTAGACTTTAAAATATCTGGTTCACTTAGATACTGAGGAAGAAGAGGTCATGTGATTCATGTTGACTTTTCCTTTTTCTTCTTTTAAGGATTTGCGTGGGCAACTGATTTGTCCACAGACCTGGAAAGTCAGCTTTCAGTTAGTTGTAAATGTTATGAGGCTGCGAATGAGATTTTGCAGTTTAGTGACTTAAAAAGCCAAAATCCAGAACACTATGTACGAGTACTGAAGAGAATGGGTAATGTTAGAAATGAAATTGGTGTGTTTTATATGAATCAGGCCGCCGCATTGCAAAGTGAAAGATTAGGTGAGTATGTGAATTCTCTTTATTCTCTATTCTGTTAGAAAATTATGCTGGTTTTTTTCTGGGTCAAGTAAAGAGCAGTGACCCTTGATTGTAAGTTATTAAAAGGTACTCTATTAGAGAGTTACTTTATTGCTAAATTCTCAAGAAATAAAATTGAGGGAAATTTTTTTCCCTTACGATGCATCATTTTAGTGTCTTATCCTTGGTTTTATTTTGCAAACCATCTGATCATTTCAGATGCAGCTTGGACAACCAGCCACGTGCCAGCCTCTGTTGGAGGAGGGCTTTCCAAGCTGAGCAGGCAGTGTGAGGGAAAGCCCAGGCAGAGTGTCCAGCGTGTGTTGGGAGTAGCAGCAGGGGGTCCTGTGAGTGTCCGGGAGGGAGTAGCAATGCGGTGGGCACCTGTGGGACATGTGTGTGAGAAGGGCTGACTTAGAAGTTGGTTAGAAATATGCTTAGAGCTGTCAGGGCTAGAGCATCTCAGAGTGAGAACCGGTACCAAAAACAAACACACCATGGGCCCACAGCTTCTGACTCTTTACAAGATAGTGCTTTGCTCAGATGTCTTCACTTGCTTGTTTACTGTTGGTCAGTGAATAGTGAGGAGAGCTCTGCTTCAGTTCAGACCAGTGGCTTAATGACAGAGCTTAATGACAGAAATCGATTGTCTCACAAGTCCAGAGGATAGAAGCCCAAGATCACGGGCCAGCAGGGTCGAATTCTTCACAGGCTTCTTTCCTTGGCTTGTTGACATCACCCTCTCATAGTGTCCTCACACAGACCTTTCTCTGTGAATGCCCAGTGTGTCTTCCTCTCTTTATAAGGACACCAATGTTTGGATCACCCTCTGACCTCCTTTAAAGTCTGATCCCAAGTACAGTCACTTTCTAACGTAGTGGGGATTAGGGCTTCAACATGATGAATTTGGGGGACACACTTCGCTCTGACTGTCAGGCATGGTAAGGGCAGAGTGCGTCAGCGGACCCCAGGTGGTTGGTTTGCCCCCCAGGCTCCCACACTGCCTTTTCTCTGATCGTCACATCGAGGGCGTGCTGGGGTCACACTGATGTGTGCTTATGCAATTGTTTTCTTTTCTTTTTCTGTGAAGTGAGCAAATCTGTGTCTGCTGCAGAGCAACAGTTGTGGAAAAAAAGCTTTTCTTGTTTTGAAAAGGGAATTCACAACTTTGAATCCATTGATGACGCTACAAATACTGCCCTTCTGTTATGTAACACGGGAAGACTCATGCGAATCTGCGCTCAGGCGCACTGTGGGGCAGAGGATGAATTCAAGCGTGAGTTTTCACCAGAAGAGGGCTTGTATTATAACAAGGTAACACATTTGATACAAGTTGGGCCTCATCCATTCACTCCTATTACCTGTTCATACATGGCGTGGCTCCGCCAAAACATTCTAAGGCTAAAAGTAACTAAAACCACTGTGAAGGTACAGAGCTTGACACACCATTAACACACTTAGAAAATAGCACTTGTTGTTGAAGATGACGTATTGAATTGTTATAGAAAAAATGTATTTAGAGTAAACATCCAGTGGATTAAACATTAATGGCGAAAAGTGAGAATGTAAAAGCACCCAAAGAAGATACAAGTTGATGTGATGAGGTAGGGAACAGCTTTCCCAGCAGAAATTATGGATAAAAGATGAACAAATGTTAAATGCATAAAAATGTAGAATAGAGAGTAGAATGGAATGCAGACCACCATCTAAGGAAAATGCTCAGAACATACAGCATAAATCAGAGGTTAACACACTCTTAATGTTTAAATAACAAGAATCATTGAAAATAAAACACCCTTAACAGAATAAATGACATAACCTCTAACAAAAAATTTGTACACATTAGAAAATCTGTTTCAATTTATATTATATGAAACTTAGAAATTGAGTTTCTTTAATTTGTCAGACTGCTAATTTTTGGGGTTTTTTTGTTTGTTTGTTTTTAATGGTATTGGGGATCAAACTTCATACCTTGTGCTTGCAAAGCAGGTGTTGGAACCACTGAGCTAAATCGCTGGCTCTGTAGATTGCTAATTTTTTGACAAATCCATTGTTGGAGAGGGTACAGGAATGGGCATTTACATATTTCAGTATACTGAATCTACCTAATTGACTTTTTTGTTGGTTTTTTTGTTTTGTTTTTTGAGACGGGTTCTTATTATATAGTTCAGGCTGACCTTGAACTCACTGTGTAGCCCAGGCTGGTCTTGAATTCATGGCAGTCCTCCGCCTCAGCCTCCTAAGTGCTGGGATTACAGGCATGCTACATGCCCAGCTGAAAGGATATTGTTGAAGAATGTTGATGGCATAGTAAATGTTAAAGTAAAAAATGACCTGGTTTTTCTTTTTTATACGTATACAGAAAAGAGTAAATAAATACACACCAGAAATGTAGGGATATTACTGGGTTATAGGTTTTAGTTTGATTTTTAGTAAAATGGCCATGTATTTGACAATAGAAGTGAAAAAGGGTGAGAGGAATTACTTTGAAGGAAAATAGTTCTCAAATTATGTTTTCTAGCTTACTAGTTAACATAAACTGCAGTTTTCACTTATTTGGGGGAAAAAAAGAAAACTGCATCCTCAGGCATCAGCCCAAGTCATAAAGCTGCAAAGACTGGCTTACTGTAGACTGGAAAATGGCCACTTTAAATAACTTTAAATATTTTCCTTTTCTTTTTTTTTTTAATTTCTCCTTCATGATACTTATCCTTCTATAGATTACCCCCAATTAAATTGATATCTGAGTGGTCTTAAAGATTATTTTAATGCAACATTCATGTACATGAAAATCCTTTTCCTTCTTTGCAGGCTGTTGATTACTATTTGAAAGCTCTGAGGTCATTGGGAGTACGAGACATACACCCAGCTGTTTGGGACTCTGTGAATTGGGAATTGTCCACTACTTACTTTACTATGGCAACTTTACAACAAGATTATGCTCCATTATCCAGAAAGGCTCAGGAGCAGGTAGTAAGATTTGCTTGTTTATAAAACATGTTCCCAGCCTTCTCTGTTCCCTTTTTTTTTTTTCCTCTCGGATATAGAGCATCTGTTATCTTTTCCATGACAAGTGGTATTTAAACGTGAAAGTTCTTGTAGTTCTTACAATTCTGGTTAGTTTATTATTTTCTCCCCCTTAAAAAAACAGATTGAAAAAGAAGTCAGTGAGGCTATGATGAAGTCCTTGAAATACTGCGATGTTGATTTGGTGTCTGCTCGGCAGCCTCTTTGTCAATATCGAGCTGCAACCATCCACCACAGGCTGGCTTCCATGTACCACAGTTGTCTGAGGAATCAGGTATGGGCTTTCGGAGTCAGTCCCAACCAAGTCCAGTTCGAAGTGTGCCGGCTGCTTTCTTTATGTTCTCATGTGTATTACAAATGCATACATTTAATTAGCTACTTTCAAAAAAATATGTACTCTGTGCTTTCCCCTCTCACCTGTGCCAGGTGCTTATTTTCTGTTACAGTTGATGGGGTCTTGGTTCCACAATTTATATACATCTGCCTGAGTGTGTCACTTAGATTGGTTTTGGTTAGAGTTTATAGTAATTTTGTTTTGCAAATTTTAAAGTACTGATCTCCTATCTTTTATTGTGAAATAGATCATGCATATTAATGCATGTAGAAAATATAGGTGAACATGTGTACGGCTTAAAGAATGACAGAAGAAAGCTACTGTACCTGGCTTGGAGGTTAAGAGATGGCTGAGTGCTCTGGAGCATCCTTGGGTGTCCCTCCTGGACACCCACTGGATTAACACTGCCCTGAGCTTTCTCCAGATCTCCACTTACTCATCGTCACATTTCATTTTATACTGAACTTTATGGAACAGAGCATATATGTGCATCCTTCTGTGAACTTACTGGCTTTTCACTTCACATCATATTTTTGTGATTCGTCCAAATTGGTGCTTGTAGCTCTTTACTTCCACACCTTAATAACACTCATTAAGCAACACTCTCATAGTTTATATACCCGCCCTGTAGTTGCTGATCTTCTGGGTTGTGTAAGGCTGTTAGAAATAATCTAGGACTACATGAATCTTGGTGCTCTGCTGCATTTTTTTCCTAGGGATCGAGGCCAAGATGAAGGTGCCTGCCTTCAGAGAGGTTGCTTTGCTTGTGCTGGAGACTTACGTTCGTTAGGTTTCCAGTGATAATTTTTTTATTCATTTCATTGATTTTCTGCCTTTCTCAGTATTAAGATAACTTATCGTACAGTTCTTTGAGCTTGGTTACTTCTAGGTTGTCCTTATTCCAAGAGTGTTTTCCTTTGAAGTCCAGCTTCATCTGGAAAGGATTTCTTTCTTTTCTTTTCTTTTATCCCCCCCCCACCACATTGAGTGTATTGGTACATTTTAGGTACACAGTACAGTTACATTCATCATTGGGATCTTGTACCTTTACAGGACAGGTCTTGGTTCTCATTTTTTCCTCTTGTCCCTGCCCTCCCTTCACCCCCTACTCCCCTCCCCATTTACAAACACTTCTTTTCCATTTTTTCATTTTCTCATATTTTTTCCTTTTCCCTTATTAGCTTTCACCTACCCTTCCCACTTTCCCTACACCTTTAGCCCCTTCCTTCCTATTTCAGATTGTCCATTGTATCATTAGGATCTTATGTACCTTTATAGTTTATTCACACCAGAGAAACTATTCAGTATTTACACGTGTGACTTATTTATTTCACTTAGGAGTATATCCTCAATATGTATCCATTTTCCTATGAATGACTCTTAATTTCTCATTCTTTATGGCTGAGTAGTAGTATTCCATTTTATAGAAAAACCACATCTTCTTTATCCAGTTTCCAACGGATGGGCAGATGGGCTCTTTCCAAGTTTTAGCTATTACAAACTGTGCTGCTATAAGCATAGGTGCACATATATCTCTGTGATATGATTCTTTTAATTCTTCTGGGAAGATACCCAGCAGAGGGATGGCTGGGTCAAATGGAACCTCTAGTCCCAGCTCTTTGAGGTATCTCCATATTGATTTCCATAGTGGTTGCACCAGTCTGCACTCCCACCAACAATGGAGAAGGGTTCCTTTCTCGCCACAACCCTGCCAACATTTGTTGTTGTTTGATTTTCACTACCAAAACTGCTATACAGATTCAATGCAATGCCAATTGAAATTCCAACACTATATTTCACAGAACTAGAAAAAAGAATCCAAAAATTCATTTGGAACCATAAGAGACCTAGAATAGCAAAAGCCATCGTAGGCAGCAGAGACATGGTAGCGGGTGCAACAATTCCCAATTTGAAACTATACTACAAAGCCACTGTGATAAAAACAGCATGGTACTGGCAAAGACACAGATCTGAGGATCAATGGAACAGATTGGAAGACACAAAAACAAATTCAGATGTACTCAGCTACGTCATCTTTGACAAAGGAGCTGACCATCCTCAGTGGAGGAAAGATAGCCTCTTTAATAAATGGTTTTGGAAAACCTGGATCTCAACCTGCCAAAGATTAAAACTGGACCCTTATCTTTCACCATGTACTAAATTACAATCCAAGTGGATTAAAGATCTAAACATTTAAACAGAAACACTAAAGTTGCTGGAAGATAAGTTAGGCAACTCCTGAATAATTACAATCCAAGTGGATTAAAGATCTAAACATTTAAACAGAAACACTAAAGTTGCTGGAAGATAAGTTAGGCAGAACTCTTGAAGACATTGGCATAGGAAAAGATTTTATGAACAAATTCTCAGCACAGGAACTAGCAGAAAGAATCAACAACTGGGATCTCATCTTATTAAAAAGCTTCTGCAGTGCAAAAGAAACCATCAACAGAACTAAGACAACCTACAATGTGGGAAAAAATTTTTGCCAGCTGCTCCTCAGACAAAGGACTATTATCTAGAACATATAAAGAACTCAAAACAATCAGCCCCCCCAGATATAAAGACCTGATTCAAAAATGGGCATCTGAAATGAACAAACATTTCTCAGACAAAGAAGTAAAAGCAGCAAGTAAATATATGAAAAAATGTTCCACATCACTGGTCATTTGAGAGATGCTGATGAGATTCCACCTCACCCCACAAAGAATGGCTGCTATCTGGAAAGGATTTCTTTCATAGGTTCTCAACTAAAATTTCCTCTACCACAGGAGACCCCTCCAACCAGAAGTCAAGTTTGCCTGTGTGGCCTAGTTGGAAAAAATAAGCTAAAGGGTGCCAACAGTTAGCAGAAAATAATAATCTTTTTAGCAGTTGGTACTGGGACAGTTGGATAATCTGCCCACGAAGGAATAGGTGAAGCTTCCTACCTAACATCAGACAGAAATTAGTAAAAAAAAAAAAAATGGTTTAAAGACCTATGTGTAAGGGCTACAGCGGAACACTTGCAGGAAAAAGTTTAGAGTGGTTAGTGATTCAATCAGAAGATTTGATTAAGTAGTTGGTATGAACCCCCAAACCTTGGGATTTATTTTTTAATTTTATTTTTACTCCAGGTCGGTGATGAACATCTTAGGAAACAGCACCGGGTGTTGGCAGATCTTCATTATAACAAAGCTGTAAAGCTCTTTCAGCTTCTCAAAGATGCTCCCTGTGAACTGCTGAGAGTACAGCTAGAAAGAGTCGCATTTGCAGAATTTCAGATGACCAGTAAGTCTGGCTTTCTACTACTCAGATCCGTACACACTGGCTTAGTATGTAATTGTCTTAGATAGGGGCAGACCTGTGTGTTGCCCTTGGATGTGAATGATACTCTTTATTAGGCTGCCTGTAGTTGTGGATTGGATTCAATCAGGAGAAGTTGCAACACATTCCGCTGTGCTTTTTAAAACTTAAGTCCATTACAGGTTTAAATCAATGTGGAAAATGAGACAGAAGCAGCAGGAAAAGAGGAGTGGTCACTGGCTCCCTTTAAATGTGGAACTGATACCTCAGCAGCTTTGGGTTGTGCTTGTGCAGTGAGTGCTGCTTAGTGCCCCAGCGAGTTCCGGGTCAGTGCTGAGGCGGGGAAGGAAGGGGAAGAAAGTGGGAGTACCTTCGCGTGTCCCTCCACACCGGCCACGCGGTGCTTTCTCTGCGCTCGCTCCCATTCCTGTGAGGGATCTTTTGTGACATATCTCTTACATGGTAGAGAAATAAGGAACAATTATTTGAAGTGCAGCAATTCATTTGGCTTTTTTTTTAAAACTTGTTAATATTTTTTAAATTTCTATTTTAATGAAGTTTCAGATGTTGACGTAGTTCATATTTCCCATTTGAGGATGAGGGATGCTCAGCCTATAAAGTGCTTGCTGATATTCCTGAATCTGAAGCACTTCTGGGGATAAGGAACACTGAGCCTGTACTTCAGATCCACGTGTCTCTGTGTACAGAAACAGTAACACTGTTGCCTGTGAGGAGAGAACCTGGGAGGTCGGGGGCATTTTCATCGTATACTCAGTTGGGATACTGGGAACAAAGCAGTAAATTCACTTTTGTTGTTGTTTTTTGTTTTGAGGAGGGATACCGGGGATCAAACTCGACCTCGAGCGAGCTTTCGAGGCAGGCGGCAGCACCACTGAGTAAATCCCTGGCCCTCACTTTTAAAATGTTTGAAGAGTATGTGTACCTTAGGAAAATGTAAATATTTTAGGAAGTCTTGTTAGCTAGGTTTGTGGGTTTTGTAAGCCAAGTGAATAGGCACTCTAGCATGTAATGATTTTGATTGTCTTTTTTTAATCTAACACGACTCACATTTACCTTCCTAATGTCTGTGTCTGCTTCGTGCCCCAGTAACAGTTCTACCCATAGTCAGCATCTCATCTTCCAGATTACAAAGGCACTGGTGCACTGTAAAGACAAAAACATTATTTTAGCCTGGGATTTTGCTATAAAGGAAGAAAACAGCAGATTTTCCTTTCTTACCTGCAAGATGGGGAGTTTCCAAGCTTGCTTCATTTTTAACAACTGCAAGTTTAAGGGTCCCCAAGAGCCCTCTTTTTTTTATTGTTTTTTTGTTTTTGTTTGGGTTTTTTTTGGTACCTGGGGTCGAACCTAGGACCTTGGAGCAGGCAGTGGAACCACTGAGCTAAATCCCCGGCCCTTTTTTTTTTAAGTTGCCAAGTCACCACTTTATTTTGTGATAGTTAGGTACAGTCATGAAGTAAAAACATGATGTGAAAGAAGTGAACCACACTGAGATGATGAGGCTAGCTTAAATTTGAAGAAACTACATATTTAACAATGAAATCTAATAAACTGTAAGTTCATAAGACTGCTCATGTTTAACTAGAAAGCCATTCTACACTTGGTCACAACTTCTTGTAGGGATTGGAGACACATTCAATTCGGCCAAGGGAACAGGTGTGGGGCAGAGTGCTGGGGATTTCTCGGCGAGAAACTTCATTAGTCTTATCCCATGGAGTTACAGATGGTGCTGTATATGCCTTTCCCCAAACAGTACCACGATGACCACCAGCCAGAGCTCACCCTAGTCTTGGTGTCCAAATTCTGTGTGGAGTTTGGTCACATAGACTTGGGTGACGGCCACCTGGCTGACATTAGTCTCTGGGTCCACTGGAGTTAGAGCTGTTACCCTAGGGTCCAAAGCCCCCAATGTGTATTGCATCATTCTGATCATACAGCACTCCCTTTCCCCCAGGTAAGCAAAGACATTGACCAGACAGGGCATTCTAAGGCTTAGCCATCACCCTCGGAGCCAGAGACAGAGGCCAGACCTCTTTAAGAAGAGAAGATTAATGTTGTACCCCGTACTGCTACACACACACTGACTATGGGCTCGAGAAGATCAAGCAGGAGCACAGGTGCACTGTACTACCTTTTAGCTGCTGAAAAGCTGTATTCAGAAAGCTCTAGAGTAAAGTGAAACCTTACCCATCTGGTCTGACCTGGACTCTGGACAGATTCTACTGTTGAATAACAGATCCTGAGGGCTAAGTGACTTGACCAACCTCACACAACTAACAAATAGGGGAGTAGCCTTCGGACCAGATTCCTCTCTGCTTGCTGGTCCCCTTTAACTGTTGCTTCCAACTCTGGCCCCTATTCCGAGAACATTTTGTTCTCACTCTGACAAAGCCAAATAATGAGATAGAGAAACAATTTTTATTTATCACTTTGTCTAGCTTTAATAATTCTTTTTCTCAAGGGAAAACTAGTAAACAGGTTGGGTTTAGAAGATTTGTTGGGATTCTCATAAGCTTCCCCTATAATGTTTGAAAATCAGAATTTTCAGCTGTGCATCATGGTACATGCCTGTAATCTCAGCACTTGGGAGGCTGAGGCCAGGAGGATTGCAGCGAGTTCAAGGCCAGCCTGGAATAGCTAGACTCTGTCTTAAAAAAAAAAAAAAAAAATCAGAATTTTCTTTAACATATTAGCATTGAATTAAGTTTCAAGGTGTGTAGCTAAAGGATGACCATTTGTATTTAATACTTTAGGTCAGAATAGCAATGTTGGAAAGTTAAAAACACTGTCTGGGGCTCTTGATATCATGGTGAGAACTGAGCATGCATTCCAGCTCATCCGGAAGGAGCTTATGGAGGAATTTGACCAGGTAAATGGAGAAAATAATTATTTTTGTTTTTTATAGGTTTTATACCAAATGATGACTATGTATAGTGGGCGTGTGGTATATATTTATGGAAAGTATGTATAGAAGCTCTGCATAAAAACATATTGCTAATGCCTTGGCCAGTTTCGTGTTTCTATGACAAAATACTGGAGGCTGGCTGGTAACTTATAAAGTGGAGAAATCTATTCAGTTTATAACTTTGGTGGCTGGGGAGTCCAGACAGCATGGCACCGTTGTCCTGGTGAGGGCCTCCTGGATATCACAACATGGTAAAGCAGAAAAGAAACCTGACAAGCAGAATGGGCCAAGACATGAGCTGGCCTCACTTTATACCAGGTCATTCTTGAGTGATTGAGTCACAGAAGACCGGATCCCCTCATGAGAGACAGCATTAATCCACTCATTGGGGTGGGGCTCCTTGGCTAGCTCCTCCCACGAGGCCCTCCTTTTACAGGTTCCCTCACCTCAAAACCACACTGGAGTCATGCCTCAGCCCATAAACCCTTAGAGGGGAAACTGTAGCAGCTATACTGGTGTGGTAAACAGTACTACACTGCTTTGTTTAATTAGCAAGTGTATCTTTTAAGTGTTTTTTTAAGAATATGCTTTAAGGGGCCAGGGATTTGGCTCAGTGGTCCCGCCCTCTTCCGGGCCGATACCAAAAAAAAAAAAAAAGTATGCTTTAAGGAGACCCATAGACCATAGTTAGCTAAAGCACTAGTTACCAGGCTGTAAAGTCTCTCTTTTGTTGAAGGAGGGTTGTTTTGTTTTGTTTTAACTCAGAGGGCCTCTGGGCCTTCCTCCTCATAATTTCCACTAACCTGTTGGGGAGCAGTTGAATGTGAATGGGTTTAAGCAGGCTCCATGGAAAGTATTTTCCTTTATCTGGCCATGCCATCATTCATGCTGCTTTCTGCTGCTGTTGGAATCTCCTGGGTGGATCCACTTCTGTGATGCCCTGTGGGGACCAGTGTTAGAAAGTGAGGGGATTGTCATTTGGGATTCCTTTTACTTAAGTGCTGCTTAGGCTTGGGGCACTTTTATTGTGTTTTAGTCCATCACCGTGATCTCAGATGTGCTTTGGGTTAGTTTGTTTTGGTTTAAAAATTTATCGGATTAATGGAACTACAGTTTTATCACTTAAGTGAAATAACATTCTGTTGTTTTTAATCTAAGGGTAGTGAAACCACTCCAGCTACTGATTCTTCTCCTAGTCTTAATCAAGAAGAAGTGATCAAACTCCTCAGTATATTTGAATCTCGACTCTCATTCCTTCTCCTTCAGTCCATCAAACTGCTCTCTTCAACTAAAAAGAAAACAAGGTACATTACATGGTTATTTGTGGAAACTTCTTTCCTAGCACCTTACCTATAAAGAGAATTTGAGTAATCTCTACAAACATTATAAAGAAAAAATAGGTTGTATTCTTTCTTGACTTTTATGTGGAAAATGCAGAATTTTAAGTGGTATTCCTTTTTGACTTGTTAAAGTTGGTGAAAGTCGATTTAGCTTGTAGATACAAAGTCTTGCTGCCATGGGGTGATACTCTATTGTTCGTGAGGTATTCCCTGGGAGAGCTGAATGACCCTGAGATGAAGGCTCTAAACACGTCTGAATGTTGTGTTTAATGGGAAGTCTGGACCTCAGTTTGGATACTGAGGGCCAAGTGCACCATAAAAGTATGTGACATAACTTTGAAGTCTCTCTAAAGCCAGGAAATTAGTGAGAAAAAAACGAGTGAGCCTGCCAGCTAAAATGTTCCCAAGTTCCTCTGTCACCTCATGCAGTATGTTTTTATTTTTGCCAGAGATTGCTTTTCATTATCAGTTTAATTTGAAATTGCAGTAGTAAGTACTAGATCAGGAAAGTAATATATACACCTTTTCTTTTTAAAAATGTGAGTGTGGTCTAAACTGTATTATAAATTTTAGAAAATAACAATTAAAAAAAAAAAAACGCCCTAATACTTCCATTGTTATCGGTTATCCTATGTATGTCTTGCCAGTTTATGATCTTAGGGAACAGATAGTTTTTCTTTCTTTTGTGTTTGTTGTTCAAGCTTTGACAGAGCATGTAGATGTGTATCTGCCACCACAGTTGTTATACAGTGCAATTTCATCACTTCAAATAGGCTCTCTTTCTCTCCTGAAATTTCCAATCTGTTCTTGAATGGGATCCAGATTTTCCATTAGAGACTTAAACATGTTAATCCCCTGAGAGGCCATTGCGGCATTGTCCTGTCTGAGTCTGATTCTGTTGACTCTTTTTCTCTTGCCAACGTGATGTTATTTCCTTGCCTTTCAGCTATCTCGTAATTATCGAAAACTAGACATCTCATATAGGACAGTAGTGACTGAGGAAATAATTGTTCTGGCTGGAAAGTTTCGAAACCTCCTCCAGCAGGCCTTCAGTGTAGAGATTTAAGTTCATTTTTTTAACCTGGAGTTGAGTCGAGATTTTTTTTGTGCTGTCATGGTTACCTTTTCCATAAACCACAGGCTTTGTGTTCTAGCAATACAATAGTCTTTCCCCCTTGGCTAAAGTTTTTTTTTCTGGGGTTTCTGTTATCCATGGTCAAAATATTGAATAGAAAATTCCAGAAATAAGTTGTATAAACTATTCTGAAGACCGTGATGAAATCTGCTGTCCCATCGGAGATGTGAATCATCCCTTTCTGCTCATTTGTTGCTTAGAAGTCCTCTTGATTATCAGTTCTTCTGTGTTCAAATAACCCTTATTTGATTTAATAACTGCCAAAGTACAAGAGTAGCGATTCTGACAATTTGCAAATGCCAAAAAAAAGAAACTAAAGTGCTTCATTTGAGTAAAAAGAAAGTTCTTGAGTTAGTAAAGAAAGAAAAATGGTGTATTGGAGTTGCTAAGATCTGTGGTTTTTGTTACTTGTTTACTATGCCTAATTTTTTTGTTTTTGAGAGAGAGGATCTCACTGTGTGGTTCAGGCTGGCCTTGAACTATGTAGGCCAGGCTGACCTCAAACTCACAGTGATCCTCCTGTCTCAGTCTCCCAAGTTCTGGGATTACAAGTGTGCACCATTTTATGCTTAATTTATAAGCTAAAACTTATAGCATAGTATATATAGAATTCAATACTATCTATGGATTCAGGCCTCCACTGGGCTCGTGGAAGTTGCCCCTAAGGCACCATTGTTCCTTGTATTAAAGTCTGAAGAAGGGTGTTCGTAATGTGTGCTCTGCCTCAGCTTGAAATCCTCCCTTTGTGCTGAACCTCTGAAAGGGGCTGTCTTCCCACACTGCCAGGCATGGTCCACTAACACCTGGCCTTCAGTGTTGGGAGAGGAGAAGCAAGTTGGCTGGACTTATTGGTGGTTTTGTGTACACCTCCTTCCGAAGCAGACTGATTGCTCTAATTCTCTGTGGTCTAAGGAGAGCTTTGATCTGGGGGCTGTCTCCATGTCAGGTACATTGCCCTCTCATTCAACCTAGTTGCTGACCCTTGTTGTCTGAGTCTTTGCTGTGCCAGCCTGCGATACACAGAGTATTTTGATACATTCACTGTAGTTTAGCAGGTATTTCCAGCTTCCTGAAGAACCAAAAGGAAAGTAGGTAGTGCATGTAGTAACACACAGTTGAAAAAGCCTCGGAGCTTTTCTTGCTTAACAAGAAGGATACATTTTTAATTGGTTTCCACCAGGTTGGAATATAAATATATGATACATAAGAAACACAGTAATGATTTTCACAAGTTGATGATTTTGGTAGCTGGCTGACAAATAATAGTTTTATGTTTTATAATCATAATAGGCCTATGTCTGCTCTAAGTTATTTATTTATTTATTTATTTATTTATTTAATTTTGGTACCAGGGATTGAACTCGGGACCTTGTGCTTGCGAGGTAGGCAGCGTCACCACTAAGCTAAATCCCTGGCCAGTTTTTTATTTTAATGAATAGTTTTCTAAGTTCTTTTTGAATTAATAGGCTGTTGAAGAAATCTTAAATTTAAAATTTTAAGTCCTATTTAAGTAATTTACATTAATTTTTCAGGCTTATTCAAGATTATTAAATGTGATACTATATTAATAATGTAAACATGCTGACAGGTTTCAGAACAGAAGCATTGATCACTAAGTCACTGACTTTTTAGGGGGCGCTTATTTGGCTTGTTGGAAGTAGGCTTTGAACTCAGGATTTTGCACAGGCTAGGAAAACACTCTAGCAGTGAGCTACATACCTGGCTTGTTTTTGTCACTGTTGGTCTCTTGTTTGTTTTGCTTTTTTGAGTCGGGGTCTTGCTGAGTTTCCTAAGACTGGCCTTGATCTTGCACTCCTGCTTCAACTTCCTGGGTAGCTAGGATTACAGGCATGCTCCAGATTCTCCCATGTTTTACTCGCTTAGAAAGACAACATCTAATTTTTTTTGTAGAGGAAAAACATCCTTCTGCAGACCTAGTTATGTTACTATGAAGTAGTATACAAAACATAAAACAAGACCATCAGAGGAAACATTAATGTTTGTTTCGTTTTGACTGCGTTTCCCACCAAGACAAAAAATAAAAATTGGGCATAATAATAGAAATTCTTAATTTTCTTAGATTTCATTGTAATTCTATAGGAATCTAAGAAAGTGAAGATGCATTTAATTTGTTTAGAATTTTTTTCATTTTCACTTTATTCGGGTACTGCATTGTATGATGGCTACCTTGATGTCATCCTGATAGAATGTTGCTCCATTTAACACATTGTAGAGATTCTTTTCTTACCTTTAGTACTTGTTGCTTTAGCAGAGTGAGGCCTTTTGGCGTTTTGGTGGTGCTGTGGTTTAAAATAAAAACTGAAAAATAGAAGTGAACTCTGAGTGTTCGGTAAGCCCTGTACTGCAGCGCAGATCCCTAAAATGTATGAGTTGTTGCTAGCCAGATATATACATCTAGCATTTAGTTGAATAAAAAGGAAAGTAAATGAATGTGAGTTATTTATCTATGAAATAATAGAGTCCTATGAATAAGGGTCAGACTTCAGTGAAACTACTCATGAGAATGAATTGAGAAAGGGCATGATTTGTAGAACTTGGGAGCCAAAAATTTAAGGTTCAGAAGTATGAGCAGAACATATCAAAAGGTTTAAAAGTTGGATCCCAGCAGCCATTAATTCTCTTCAGGCTTCTACATGACAATGTGCTACCATTATCCATAGAAAAAAATTCATATTTTAGACCCTTTTTCTGGTTAAATATTAGTGGCTTGTTTACTGTCAGAATAATTTGAATTTCTATAAGGTTATCAGAAATTCTGGGAGGCTGGGGATTTAGCTCACCATCATTTAGTTCTGCCACCTGCTTCACAAGCACAAGGTCCCGAGTTTGATCCCCAGTACCAAAAAGAAAGGAAATTCTGGGAAGGTTAGACCCCCATAAAACTAAACAGTAGCCAATCTTTGCTCCAAATTGCAGATAGCGAGTGCTTTGTGAATAGTTACTTTCATGTGTTGTGGCAAGTTTTGGTACAGAGATTTGCTTGATAAGGGAGAAATGAATCTCTAAAGGGGGTGGTCAGACTGGAGGGAGAGATGAGTGGAAGGGGAAAAAGGAATTCCGGAAAGCTGTGACTGGCACTGACAGTGCTCTGTAGAGGGCCTGCAGGTCACTGGTTAAGGGAGAGTTTGTACACTGAAGAGGAAAAAGAGCAAGAAGATAGTATGGGAAATTAGAAAATGGATTGGGGATGAACTCTGAACATAGTTGGCGAGAAGGCAGCCTTGGGTGCTAGCTCCACCACTAGCACAAGAAAAGAAAAAGAAAAAAAGAAAAAGAGGAGGAAGAGGAAAAAGAGGGAGGGAGAGAAGGAAGGAGTCATTGGAAAAAATGACATTTTGACCCTGATTCAAATTATGACACTCTCTGGGCCTTAACTTTTACCTCTATAAAATAATACTAGGCCTTTCTCTTCTGAGGGTCAGGGTTGTTGGCAGGCTCAGCTGTGGTCCTGCACATTATAAGCAGTCCTGGCACTATCAACTGTTGCCCAGTTTTGTTGCATCTAGACTCACACAAAAAAAAAGATAACTAGAATTGTAATTACTAGTCTTTTTCAGTATTAACATAAATAGAATTCATTGATCTACCATGAGAGGTAAAAACTGTTCAGAACAAACTATACAAGTAAGCAGAAGAGACCAGCATGACATACGTTCCAGCTGAGGGACTCTCTTGAGCCAGAGTTTGAGCGGCTGAGTTTAGAGTGAACGAGGGTTCTGCAGCTCCCGCACAGGGATGCGCAGGCAGCTCCGGGTGGCTCGAGCCAGTGCCCCGCAGCTGCTTTAGATTTGAACTTGTCCACACTGTCTGAGGGTCTCTAGGCTGGGCTTATGCAGTGGGACTCCCGTTCTACTTCCCCTCCACTCTCCCATCTCCGGTGTCTCTCCTTTGTGGCATTTGTCATCTGATGCTCTGTTTTCTTAATTGTTTGGTGTGTGTTGTCACCCACTGCCTCCCTAGCACCCTAGCAGGACTCAGGGAATTTTTTTGTCTGGTTCACTACCAAGAGCAGCTCCCTGTGCACAGCAGGCATTCAGTATATATAAAAAGCATGAATACTGGTTTTAATAGGCGTATTGGCATACATACCTAAAAGCAGGCGCCAGAACAAGTGGGTATAAGAAGGTAGGGATGAGAGGCATTAGTGGGACACCTGCATCTCTGTCCAGTGTGACTGTTGTTGACCTGTTACTGTTTGTTTTGGGTCCCTTTCCACTGTTGCCTTCACTTTTTCTTTTTTCACCCCAGCAGTAACATTGACGAGGACGTAGTCTTCAAAACCAACAAGCAAATTTACTCCCAGCTTTTGAGAGCAACAGCAAACAAAAGCGCCAGTCTTTTGGAAAGAATCGACATCATCATCCATCTGCTGCAGCAGCTCGCCCGCGGGGGCAGCGCGGTGAGTGGTGGGGTGGTCCAGTGACCGCGCACGGATATGCAGCCGCCAGCGTGCTGTCGGTGCCTTCTGGACACGGAGCTGCTTTGTCCTTTCGGTGCTGCATTTCATTAAATGTGAGGAAATATCCACTTCAACAGGAAGAACAGTGGAAACGTGCAGATCTTCCACAGCAGACAAGTTATGGTGGGGTTCTTGGCTTCTTCATTAAAGTGCTAAAACCAGAGTCAACCCAAAAGCTTCCCGCACTTAATTCTGTGAGAAGAATGTGGTTCCTCACTAGACTTTCTGTGATGCAATTACACTCTTAAATATTTTTAAAGTATGTTAAGCTATGATTATTTTGGATGAAATGTTAACTTGGGTCAAGGGAACTTTTATCCAGATAATTTTATAGGTTCAAATGGGTTAAACCTTCTGTACATCTACAATGTTTTTTTTTAAATTGCACAGAAAAGTGTACCCTTTTAAGATTCAATGCAAGATTTCCTAAAGACTAGCCGTCATGCAGTAGTCTGTATGGGATACGTATTCTAAAGGGATTCACTTTTCTTTGACTTTATATATAAACATTTGATTAAGGATAGATACTACCCCATTTTTTTTTCATTTTTAACTTGAAACTGTGAATAAAGGTGAGAAACCTATTTTGGATAAAAACTATTTATTTAAAATATTTTTGTATTCATCATATTGAGTTGTGATTTGAACTCAGTGCAATTAATAAATTTTACAAAGGTCATAAATTAAAAATAAAATGCTGCCGTCCACTAAATAAATTTGACTTACTACTTGTGCTGCTTTGTTCGCCGTGTCTAATTACAAACATACACTTTTTTTTCCGAAACCTAGTGTACAAGGCTGTATTTGTTTTTCATATTTAATATTCCCAGTCTCAGCAAAGACAGTGTAATATGTAGAGTACAGGCTCTCATGTGAGGATGACTGTGTGGGTTGCTGAACGCTGACCTCATTGTGGGCAGCCTGATGGCAGAAAGAGTCCAACCGCAAGGCCACTGGTGTCACCCTACTGGTCCTCCACGTTGACCAACAATGCCCACGCCAGCCACCCCTCAGGGAGGGAATCCGAACTATACTGCAACATGGTCTGGAGTAAGTACATTTTAAACTGCTATCTTTTACTTGGAGATTTTCAAGTGTCTCGTGGAAAATGAGTTGGCACCTGTCGTAGCTTGGCAGAACTCTTGCTATTTGTGCAATTCCTGGTTAATTTGGTTTGCGCTGTCCTGGGGACAGATGTGCATCTGTTGGTAAACATGAATCATTGAGCATTTGAAGTTTTGTCTGAATTGTGAAGCATGTGTACCAAGTCAGCAGTGTCTCGTTTCAGGACCACTGTGTTTCCCTTTGCACAGTGCACACACCCATAGGGCTGCCTTTCCTCCGCTGGCTGGACTGGGCGCTTCCAATGCTTGTATCGTATTTTGGGTTATGAGTTCGAAAGAGATTCCTATGTGGAAAGAAGTGTTCTGGGGCTCAGGATACTGTTACCTTGTCTCCTAGCTCTTAGCTGAACAACCTTTTAGTCAAGGGGAGAATTGTTTTTAAGCAAGAAAATAGAAATTCCATCTTGCCTTGTCAAAGCACTAACACGAAAATTTCTATAAGGGAAAAATACTTTTTAAATGTTTGTAACTTGCTGATTTTAACGCTTTAGGCAGTACCTATATTTTAGGCATTTCTTTTGAAGAAATGTTCCTGGCCTGATCCCTGATGATACAGCATTCTTCAGTTAAGTACATTGCCCACATTTTGTTAACATTATACGTATAGTGGCAGGGTTTTGGTTTTGTTTTAATTGTTATATAAAAGTTAAAGGGATATAATGCCTATCCTGGATGTAAGTGACATAGGAAAAGTAAAATAGCTTCCATAGCCCAATGTCAGTAGTCTGGCCTTTGGAACATAAGTGAACTGTCAGGGTAAGTTTACTGCTTCACAAGGAGAGGAGAGCATACATGAATCACAGCCAGAGAAGTTTTCTGTTCAGAACTAACTGGGGTGCAGGCCTGCGTGTGCAAAATAGAGCCCATCTGCTGCCAAGCGGGAGGTGGGAGGTGGGGCCAGAAGCCACCACCTGGTTTGACTAGTGAACTTCAGCTTCCTGGATCGGAAATGCTGGCGTACATGTGACAACTTTCTGTACCCTGTCAAATATTAGAAAAATGTCATCATGACTGGGACCTTGTGATTAATTCCAGTTCTGTGACCTCTCCCATTGAACCTCTTAGTTTTCAGTACAGTAAAGCCATTTACAGACCCATAGAGGTGGCATCTTTCAATGATGTTTGACCTGAGGCACTGGCTGCCTCCCCAGAGCCAGGCACAGCTGCAGAGCTCCAGTCAGAGGCAACCTCCTGGTGCTTGCTTTGTTGCTTTTTCTTTTTAACCTCTTCTAAAAAATTAATAAAATTATTTGGTGATTTTTATTTTTTCTTGAGCAAATGATCATCAAACCATACATTTTTAAAGTTCAAGCAGTGTTGTCTTCACTGAGTTTTAACTAGGGGAGCCATAATTGCTTTAGCTACTAAAAATCTGGTTTTTGTCTTCAAATTTTTTCCACATAGAAGAATCTAGTGGCCATCGCAGTTTTCCTTTTTTTAATGCAGTTCCGAGGATTGAACCTAGAACCTTTTCACTGAGCCACATCCATAGACCGTTTTTTTGTTGTTGTTTTTGTTTTTTTTTAATTTTGAGACAGGGTCTCGCTAAATCACTCGAGCTGGGCTCCAAATGCCTCTCATTACATGTTCAGTGTAGAGATGTGGACATCCCAAAGATCAAACCACTTCTTTGAAATATACCTTTTTGGAAATAAGCCATTAGAAGGAAGCCAAGAATTCTGTTGTTTATCCTTTTCACTAACTACTTTCCAATATAAATTGCTTTTGTAAAAGAAAATGGAATTGTGTGCATAGGAGTAGAAAGCTGAATCTATTTCTGAAGGGAGGGTTTTGTGGGGTTATTGCTGGGAAGACTTCAGTAAGCTTCATTGGATAAGAATTAAGTACTTGATTTCTGTTGACATCAAATGCAAATACCTACAAAACAAGTCAAATAGTAAGACTGACTCTTCTGAAGATCATGGATTTTTAGGGTTAACTTGTAGTAATTAGTTAATTAAATCTGACTTTAGACTTAAATCTCTAAATAATTTTCCACCTAATGATTTGCTGCTACCATATAGATCTAAAGTAATGAGAACAGATTTCAACTGAGAACTCGGTCATCGGACCAACCTCAGCATTCACAGAAGTAATGCTACTTACAAAGGACTCCTTAAAGAAGTAAGTTAACCGCTGCCTTCGGTCATAAAAGGCAGTGTCCACAGGACTGGGGATGCCAGGAAAACCTTCTGACATCAGTCTGGGGTAGCTTCTTCCTTGTTCATCTTCTAAGAGGGCCTGATCCTTGTCACCGTCGTATCTCCAGTATTGATTTCCTGAGAGCCAATCAAAAATGTTAATGTGGTCTATTAATATCAAATTAGAAGAAACAGGGCAAAGAAAACAACTCCAAAATAGAGCTGAGCCAACCCTGCATGATATTCTGCCTCTTTCCAGGAGAAGACAGAGTCTTCCTCATCCAAGTGAAGCTTCTTCACTCAGTGATTTTCCCCAGTGGCTCAATTTCCTTACACATCACTGCTGCAGTTAGAATGCCCATTCCCCTTTCATGGAGAATGCCGGCCATGGACACCTTCCCATTGGCTCTCATCAAAAACAAAAATAGGGCACTGCACCTGCAATGCAAGCACAAGGCCCTGAGTTCAATCCCCAGTACCGGCCAAAAAAAAAAAAAAAGCATGGTGTTCTTCACTTGAATATCTTTAATCTTTTCCTCTTTTGTGGTCTAAAGATCTTTTTACATGTTAATTGCTCATGGGTTGGCCTGAATTATCCTAATTTATAAACGTCCTCTTTTAACAAAAGAAACCCTGATGCTAATTACTGGGTTATAGCTTTCCCTAGTGTTTTTGAATCTGCTGGCTCCACCTCCACCCCCATTTTGCAAAGGAGGACATGAGTAAAAAAGGGGCCGAGGTGGTTCATCAAATCCAGACAGCCTTGGCTGGGTGGAGTTGGAGCCCAGGACTCCCACCTTCTACCCAGGGAGATTCTGGCCACTGTCTTGGAAATAAAATTCTGCCCTTTGCCCCATTTTGTTGCAAAGTCCAAATGCTATTTTCATGCTCTGAAGCAAGAAAGGACTATTCCTGCCTTTGCTTATTTCTAATCCTGAATATTTGACATGTTGCCAACACTATTCAATAAACCCACTGAGCTCAGTACTCCTGTGTCCGTAATTCACAGAAAACCTCACGCAGTTAACACCCCTTAATTCCCACATACTCAATATATTTGGAAGAGTTTAACACTAAAAACAAAAATGTGACATGTCCCAATTGAGATGCAATTCAAAGTGGAATTTTAAAGTATTCATAATAAATTAAGATGTTCATAAAGCTCCAAGAACAAAATGTAGATGTATTGTTCAGTCCCCCTGTCATGCCCAATTCTATAATGATTTTCTGTTTTGCCAACAAATTCTAGTCTGGAACTCCTTACAATCACTGAAAGATGTGCTTCCAACTCTGAAAGCCCTGCCACAGGGCTGTTGCTTAATGTAACCAAACTAGAGTAATTCTTCCTTTGTGTACTATAAAGGAAAGTTAAGACCAGATTTACATACAGGATCCTAATGGTAAAGTTTGCATAGAAAGTTCTTTAATTTTTGCTCCTGCCTTGTTAACTGCTCAGTTTAAAGCAGTACGGTTTATATTACTAGGATTCAAGTCTAGAGAGTGTACACAACTTTTGTCTGGGTGTGAGGGTGAAAGAAAAGCAGGAGCTACGTATCGTATTTGGGGTCAGACAGCATTTGCAGAACAGGGTGCCTACATGAGCTGAGTGTGGAGGTGCTTGCCTGGGTGGCCTGTGAATAGGGAGGAGCAGTGGCAAGACAGCCCCGACCTGCCCTGCTTCGGCCACCTCTACCCCAGCCCTGCCAACTCCCAGCAAAAAACTGACCTTCCCCATTCAGCAATTGCTGGCTGCTTGCTGGATGAAGTCCATCTCTGGCCCTGGAATTTGAGACTTTCAAGGTTGGGCCAGCCCAGTCTTTCTGACAAGCCTCCTGAGTGCCCACCCCACAGGCGCGATTCAGTGGCCATGCCATTCCCAGCTTCTGCTGCTTGACCCTGGCCAGGCACCCCCTCCCACACCCACGTAACATCCTGGGTGCCCTTTTATGGGCATTCTAGAGCCCACCCATCACCCATCCCCATGTCTAAGTCAAGCCCTCACTCTGGTGCTGCCCACACTGGATTCCAGGTGGCAGTGGTCACCTCCTCTGCTCAGCCCACCTCTTGAAAACATATTTCTTTTTTTTTTTGTACCGGGGACTGAACTCAGGTGCTTGCCCTTGTAAGACAGGCCACCAAACCGCTGAGCTAAATCCCAAGCCCCTTGAAGACATATTTCTATTTGTAGTCTTCCAAGGTATTTTGTTTTCCTCCAGAACTACATAAAACTTCTGTAGAGCCTTTTCTATGATCCTTTGGCACCATCTCAAGTTCCTAGCAAAGTTGTTCACTCACTCACTCATTCAATAACATAGATGCCCCCTGAAAAAGAACCGGGGATCAGGGCACGGTGGTGCACACCTGTAATCCCAGTTACTTAGGAGGTTGAAGCAAGAGGGTCACAAGTTTGAGGCCAATTTAGCAAGGCTTTTTCCTTAAAACAAAAAATTAGAAGGGCAGGTCAGGGGTGCAGGAGATATAACTAAGCACTCCCTGTGTTCAACCCCCAGTATTGGTGGGAAAAAACCCAGGGGATAGGACCCAACACCTATGTTCACAGAGTGTACATCTTGAGGGACTAGACAAAGTAAGCAAATAATTACCAGAGCATACAATGGATTCTTTGGGAGAGGCTTGAAACATTTATCCTGAATGCATGAGCTTAATAAGAGAAATAGAACTACTCACAAAGAATATGTACCTTTAAAAAAATAATGCTCATCTTTTCTTCGTGTCCAGATGTGGACAAACGCATCTATATGTTCCGTTGGGATACCTTGCCAGCCAGTGAGGATTTGGATAGGATCCCCGTATCGTGTCCTGTTGTTTCTATTTTCATAAAGCCAGTACCAGCTGTTTCGGAAGAAATATGTGCTAAATCTCACCATCACTTCGCCATATTGGTTTTTCTCTTTGCGAATCCAGTCAAAAGCAGTATCAAAGGATCCCCCACATGAACCTGAGAAGAAAAGTAAAAGCCAACCACTTGTCATGTGGTGCAAAAACTAACTTCCATGTGTAACTGGAATAGAGGTGATTCCAAGGTTGGAATTTTTTTTTCTTTTTTTTTTTTTTTTTTTTT